GGTCAAATTACAACAGTTTTAGTACTAGCAGTATCACATTGAAAGGTAAAGTTATCGCAGTGGCACACTGAGATAACTGTGACGAAATTATTCATACCCTAACCATAACAATTATGACACTCTGCAATATCCGACCTTTCCCCTCAAATTTTCTCTCTTTCTATGCTCTCTATAAAACGAGTAATACTTAACAAATTATACTTTCAAGAGGCTAAATTTCTTCCGCTTTCAATTATTCATCAAAAGTTACTTTTTATTTTCTGTTTGTTTTCCTCTTCTAACTTCCATTTGCCCTTTTGATTTAAAAAAAAAAAAGAAAAAAAAAGAGGAAATGATGTCATTTAGACAAAGAGAGAGAGAGAAAGAGAGAGAGAGAGAGAGATACTTTTATGGATGTCAATCCGTTGAAATCATTCTCATATTTTTCACAAAAAAATATTGCATCAAATTTGATCGATTTTTTCGAAAAAATATGATTGATACTTGTACTAAGTAATAAATAACTCTTTTTTTTCCCTTCATTTTATCAATTTAAATGTTCCCATAAATATTAAATTATTTATAATAATTTTAATTGTACTGAAATTAATGTCTTCAAAACATTTTTCGACAAGTATTACAACTGCGTTTTTTATTTTTTCCTTTTCGAAAAAATCCCAAATTAATTACAAAAATAAATTTTTCTTCCCAAAATTTTTTTTCCAAAAAAAAAAAAAGAGAAATGTTAAAATTTGAAAATTTTCAAATAATTTGATTTGTTATATGATTGCCTTTGCCAATCCCTTCAATCAATTTATATTTGTATTACTGTAGAGCAGTATTGATCCAGTAATGATCTAGCTCGAGATGTCTTCTTTCATCATTATTGACACCAAATAATTATCGTTATGGAAGTTTTTTTTTTCTTTTTTTAACGATTGCCAACGACAAATATTTGTGATAAAAGTTTTTATCGATTGACGAAGGATTTATTCTTCGTCGATCAATAAAAATTCCTCGGGAATTCATCCCGAGATCTAGAAATGATTTAGTCCAAGTATGGCATTTAATTCAAACAAAATGCTGTAACATTAAATTGAAGACTACCGGCTAACGAAACAGCGGTATTGCGTACTACTGCTCATTCATCAATATTGTGTGTTCGTCCCGGAATGTATGGATTTTAGAAAAAAGGTGAGATTCGAGATATACCGGGAGTGCTAGTAATCTTACTTACTCGAATTAATCGGAATTCGATTGGATAATTAGATTTATTGAAGAAGCTTTTATTTTGAATAAGTGGTAGTCATTTTTAACTTTAACATCGATTTCTACATATATTCTGTGCGATTGTAAATTGTTTGCTGAAATAATGATTTTGGTATTTAGAATTGATCACTCATTTTTAATGATTTAAGAAAAACAAGTTTAAAGTTGAAAATATAGAGATTTTTCTTTAGTACAGTCCTATCATGCACTGGATAATTTTTAATCAAGGATATTTGAATTAATCATATATAATGCCGTAGTAAATTGTTTCAGTTTCAGTATTTAAGGATCTTTTTTCAGTAAATTAATCAAATAGTAATCACTTCATTCAAAATTACATGAAAGAAGATTTAATTTTTGGTATTTTATTAACGAAAAATTTCTTCCAGCTTCAGAGTAGTTCTGCAACCATTGAAAAAGACAACGATCGTTTCTTACCTAAACAACAGTTAGAACAACAGCCATTGGAGGCTAAAAGAATGCCAAATATCAAGGTATCATTCCTCCTTTTCGTCATACCATTCTTTTACATGAAGTACACTTATTTACATGCTGTGTTTGCATGCCTATACATTTATTTGTTCATTTTCATATGTGATTAGTATTCAGGTAAATGTAGCTGTAAAATGTACGTTACTGCTGTTCCTGACAACTTTTTATGATCGATAAATTTCAGGTGTTTTCTGGTTCGTCACATCGAGATTTATCGGAGAGGATTTGCGAGCGGTTACAGTTGGATGTTGCAAAAGCATCACTTAAAAAATTCAGTAATAAGGTGGTTTTTAAAATAATTTATTTCCTTCTTAGTGACTGCTTATTAATTTGGAAACTAATTGGAAAGGTGTTCGAGACAAGCGCTCACTTTACTCTTTATCATATTCCTTTATTGGTGCCTAGTTTAGATAAATAGCATGTTTTGCAAACTGTTCATTTTCGGTAATTCTTTTATTATACACATTCACATGTTTCTTATTAGTGGTCACATTAAAAGTGTTTATTCTTTTCCTTTATTTTGCTTGAGGAGACGAATGTTGAAATAGGTGAAAGTGTACGTGGGGAAGATGTCTATATAATTCAAAGTGCATGTGGTGAAATAAATGATCATTTGATGGAGCTATTAATAATGATAAATGCCTGTAAGATTGCCTCATCGTCCCGCGTATCTGCCGTCATTCCGTGCTTTCCTTACGCTCGTCAAGATAAAAAGGTGAGCATATTAAATTATCAGCTAAGGATGTTATTTTTAAATTCACTATTTTATTACACATGTCTAGTTGATTGATTAAACTTATGTAAGCTTGTTTATACTGTAACTTATTGGTCAAAATATCCTTATTGTAAATGATTCTGAAGGATTTTGAACGGTTTGATTTTACCCACTTCTTCGTTACCACTTCTACGTTTCATTTCCCGTAATGCTTTGAATATTTACATTCAGGATAAATCTCGTGCGCCAATTAGTGCGAAACTTGTTGCAAATATGCTATCCGTAGCAGGAGCTGATCACATCATTACAATGGACTTACATGCTTCTCAAATACAGGTTTGTTCTGGACAATCTTATACATATTTGTATGGCAAATAATGGAGCCGAAATTTATGAAAGAAAGTAAGGATGAGGTCTTTTGGAAGACAAGGTTAGTAATCTTCCGTCATCAGTTTTAGAGGTTTTGAGTAATGATTGTTGCAAAATTTTTCAGGGCTTCTTTGATATCCCTGTGGATAATCTGTTTGCAGAACCGGCAATTCTAAAATATATTAAAGAGTCGATACCGAATTGGCAGGAGGCAGTTATTGTATCACCAGATGCAGGTGGTGCAAAACGGTATTATATATGGCTGGATTTGATCAGTTAGAGAGCTGTTAATATGTCTCTTCATAGATCCGTAATAATATCATAGGGGGGAGAGGGGGGACGGAGACTTATATCCTAATTTCATATTTCATTATATTTTGTCTTCAGTTTTGCGTTATATCCAGTGCTTTATTCATTCGGATTATATTTCATTGGCTTAAATTTGCAGAGTAACTTCAATTGCTGATCGCTTAAATGTTGATTTCGCACTTATTCACAAAGAACGGAAAAGGGCCAACGAGGTGGAAAAGATGACACTTGTTGGTAATGTTCGTGACAGGGTAAGCTAAGTTTTGTTAACTGGTGTTTAAATTTGAAAACTAAGTAACACCAGTAGATATGTTAAATATTCCGTTTTACTTAAACTTTTTTAAAATTCTTTTTCAGGTTGCTTTATTAGTTGATGATATGGCCGATACATGCGGAACGATTTGTCTTGCTGCTGAAAAGTAAGTGCAAATAGTTGTATAATTCAGTAATTTAGTATAATTCTTCTAGTGGCCACCAGATATTTCTCTTCATCGGTGCTTTTTTTGATGGTTCGGATCGCCTAACCATAATCGTATAACAGAGAGTATCCTTTACTAACGATTTTTCTGAGTATATATCAGTACTCGGATATTCTTTCTATTCATCCTCCCGATGGAGCATTTGAATCGAATTTTTGGTAATAACTGAAACTACGTAGAAAGGCTTAGTTGATTGCTGTGAGTTTTATTTCCTTCTGCTGAGAATTGCCTAACTTAAGGCTTTACCTGATTTGGCTGTACTTAAATCTGGAAGAGGAGAACTTTCCACTCTCATATCATCAGAATATGCGATCAGTTTTATCTGATAACCAATTAATAAAAGTAATAGAGGTGTTTTCTACTCTATCCACTAGTCTTTTTTTTTTATTTTTAATATACTTTTAATGTAATATATAAATACTAACTTTATTCAAAATTTCTGGAAAATGAATTCAGAAATGATTTTTGACCGATGAATTAGTTATTACCTTTAGGTTAGTTGAAGCAGGAGCAAGTGCAGTGTACGGATTTTGTGTACATGGGATTTTCTCAGGGCCGGCAATACAAAGATTGAACAATTCAGTGTTTGAAGCTGTGGTTGTTACAAATACTATACCCCAGGAACAAAATATGAAAAAATGCTCTAAAATTCAGGTATTTCAATTCCTGGAAATATCCTCCTTATTGTTGAATTTTCGAATACTTTGAGGTTAAAACTGAAATTTCAGAGTACACTATGCTATATCGAAAACAGTAGTCGTTGTTGTTTTCACTATAAAGAACTGAAAGCAAAGCTGTTAGCATCTATGATCTGTTAAATTGCATCCGTTTTCTTTTTATTTTGCAATGAAAAAAATTATATTTTTTCATATTTCACTCTCTCAGAACACTAGACAATTCTAAAATGATTTTAGTAATAACTTTTTGTGTATTTACTGGGCTGATAAGATTTTTAGTAAAGGCCAAATGTTGAAGACTACAAATAAGTGTTATGACTCATTAAATTAATGATGAATGAACACACAAAAAAGTGATGTTTGACCCTTATTTGAAAAACGATCAGTCATGGATGATTATTATAAGATTCATGCTACTTCACCTGAAATATGTCACTGAATATGTCCGCCTTGGATCTTTGCTCACCATTCTTATTTAGGTGTAATTGGGTCACTGTCAATGTGATATCACTTATGGTTGAGCTATCATCAGAATAATAAACGTTATGTCTTGCAGTGTATTGACATTTCGATGATTCTGGCCGAAGCAATTCGACGTACTCATAATGGCGAGTCAGTGTCCTACCTTTTCTCACATGTTCCTATGTGAATTCGACAAGCATTTATGCTGATGCACTGTTAGTGCCGCTGGCCACTGCTGCTATCAAAAGTATTAGAATGAGGAGAATTAAGCGTTATTTTCAGCACTTTCAATCAGCCTTTTTTATTTCAATATTGTTTAAATTATTGCACTCTCACTACAAGTTTGTAAATTTGTATTACCCTAAATTTGTGTTACCCTTTTTCACATTTACGCTTGTCTGTTGGATTTATGCATAATATTTTCATTAATATTAGGAATCTTAGACTGTACATGCCAATAATTTTCCATATGTAAAATTGTTAGTACAGAATAGGTAATATCTGAGATTAAAATTTTTTTTTACTTAATCAATCTGGGATATTGTGGATTGTCCCTTCCACTTCGTATTATTTTTTATTTCAACATTGTTTCAATCATTTAATCGGTTAAAAAACAATTTTTTCTTTCTTTCAATTTTGAAGAAAAAATGACATCACATTTTATGCGTATCGATCATAGTTATATACATGCCATTAATATTTTTATAGCCTTAATCTATTTATTCAAGTATACTTTGTTTCTGTCGTTTAATTTGACATTTATTCAAGTAGATTTTCAGTTATTTTAATTAATATTTTTTTTCGACTTCTTTCATGTGACCATTACTAGAATACAGTAGCATGAAATTTTCCAAAAAAAAAAAAAAGAAAGGTACATGGTAGTGAATGCAATGCAGAAAATTGTTCCGACTTTGATCTGTATTCTTTCATCTTCTCATGGACTGTGAATGTGTACTATGAATATTTACAAAACGCTACGTTGTACATATTTGTGATTTTTTAATTGAAGAAAAGAAAAGATGGCCAATTAAGCGATGGATTTTTGGTTTTTTCCAAAATCATAAATTCATTGTTTCTTGATGAATATTTTGCTGACATACGAAAATTACCATATTTAGATAAAACAAGATTTTTTCTTATTAAATTTCATATTGGAGGGTTCAATTAAGATATTACGAGAATTGCTGTTTCACGGGTTTAATATTCTTTGAAGACATTACTTTTTTGTTATAAAAGTAAAGGGAAAATTTATCTCGTAACATTTACAAAATGGTTGGTAGCAGTTTGGCCTAAGGTTGATCATGCCAGAATATATTTTTCCTCAGAAGATTCCTCGATAAAAAAATGTTATGTTTCCGGAGAGGAAAGGTTTTGTCTGTTTCTATTGACCTTACGATGATGGTGCTGTCAGAAGAGGAAAAGGAGTAGGATGATTGATGGATCGAATTTCATCCTTCAAGTGATGTATTCAGTGAAGTTATATGCTTAAATATTAGCTGGTATGAGATTATGATATCCTAATTTCAGGCAGCTGAAATTTTTTTCATTTTATGCTTCCACGTTGCTTACATCAAAGTCAATGTTAAAATTGGCTATTTTACTTGTGTTACGTTTGACTTGTACGTTGGCACAAAACTATGAAACAGGTGATAATTCGACCGTTAGAGGTTGCTCGTGAGTTTACTTATTATTTATTGCATTAACATATCAAAATTTACTACGATTACTTTTTAGTTTAAAAAAATTGCAATGCTGAACTTTTATTTCATATTTTGACAAATTATCGCTTACATATTTGGAGATACGAAAATAAGACTTGTTAAGATCAATTTAAAGCAGTATTCATGACATAATTATCACTAGATGTATTTTAATTTTTATGATGATTTAAGTTTTTCTTATGAAAAGATTTCTGATCAAGAAATAATATGTGTTGTTTAGGAGTCATTGTTCTGTTTACGACAGCGATTTGACATGTTTAAATGGATCATTACAATTTTACGAACGTCTTCTGCTGGCACAAATGAGACATTTTGTTGCAGTTCAAATGCATATTGGTTATAATTTTCAAAATTTTTATGACATTTATAAGAATTGCTTACCGAGGATAAGGTGAGACACAAGAAAACTGGGAACAGTACAAAGGGTAGATGGAAAAAGTCTTGTGTTGGAACCACCTAATTATATTAGGTTCGGGGCCTTTGCATATTTCTTCCCTTTATTTCTGCATAAAAATGTGAATTGTTGTTGTGTAAAAGAAAGCAGTTATTGTTGTAGATCAATGGTACAAGTGGCATAGTAAGCATGGGCATCGTAATTATACGACAGTAAAGGAAGAAATAATCGCGAAACTTTCTTCACAGTTGGAACCGGAAGATGTAATTGATGAAGAGACAGTAAGTTTTTCTTTTTTTTGTGCTGGTAATGTTTTCTCCGTAAAAATTGTTGTAAAAATTTTTTGGCAGGTTCAGTGCTGGACCTTAGTACCAACAATTTTACGTGGTCTACGTAATCGCATTTAGATTCCACAGATCGTAATCCATAAACATAAGTCGTGTATTAAAGGTGGGCAAAAAAACAGATTAGATTATGTTATCTTTTGCACTCATTTTTATAAAAGGAAGGGGAACGGCATGATTTAGATGTACCAAAAATTCTTGTCCGCGCTAAGTGAAATCATAAACATGTTACAAGCATAATGAATATGATATGATGCTTGACAGTTGGATCAGTGATTAACCCAGTTGACAGTTGCATTAGTGACTAGCATTGTGATTCTTTAGGAAGCTTATCCGCAGTCATGTAGGACTTGCTTTTGTAATGAGATATCCCGATAACATACATCCGAAAGGAAGGAAGCTATGTGTTATGTATGGTTTTAAAATTTGCAAAATCCGTCAAGTCTTTGATGTATGCCAAACTATTGCAGATTGCTAATGTAGTTAATATTCTGATAGACGCGGTAGAGAAGGGAACTGAAACGATAGAAGAACGAATACCACGTTTCACCTGTCCATTACCCTGTGAATATCGTTACGATATATGGCGTAATGTTTTCATTGCTTCGATGGCATTGAATTTACTGCTTGTAATTGCCATTATTCCATTTATCATATCACTTATTAGGTCTGATGTTCCGGAGACGCTCGTAAGGAGATAAAATGTCTCTTTAAAACTAATTTATGTGGCATAATTATTTTATTTGGCGAGAAAATTTCCTATATTTCAACTATAGATCTTCATTCTTTCTTGCAGAAGTTTGGAATTTCATAGCAGATAACAGTTTATGTCTTTTTCTAATCTTCTAACTTTAAAATTTTTAAGTATTCCAGCTTATGTTTATAGAAAAACAAAAAGTAAAATATGCATATTCACAAAATGAGACGCTTTATTTTTCTATGTTTTACTCGATGAAATGAGGAAAGGTCTATAATATCTTTGAAAATTTTCATACACTCACTTGATTCTAAAAGTTTTTTCAAGATTTATATGTTTACAAAGTATGAACTTGCTGTTATGCTTATTTCTGTTATAATTTTAATCCTTTATATCGTTTCTGAATTCTAATTAATCGTTTCGAAAGCTGTTTTGTGGCTGATCAGAATTTTTGCTTAAAAATGATAAGATGAAAATCGTGGAATTTTGAGATACGGATGCTCTTCCATGGTTTTTGTGATGAAATTGGCTTAAATATCAGTTCGAGCAAGAAAATTCTATCGGCTTTAATGAATTGATAGCACAGTATTCTGCTGCACCTCTTTTTCTCAGTATTTTAGGTGATTATTTGTAAATATGATGTCTCCGTCTATACCATTTGTTATTCTAATAAGCTTAACATATTTAGGTTATAAGTTGTGTATTTTTGATTTACTCAGCAGAATCCTTGTTGTTATTTAGTGCGTTCCAGTTGTTTTTTTTTTTTTTAACTTTTAGCAAAGCAAACTCCTCAATTCATTCATTCCTTGCTTTTTTATTTCAAATTTAATTTCATCATTATTTGTTGCAAGTTCTGAACATTTCAATGTTTATTGATAACTTAATTTCTTCGGTAAACTGATAATCCGCCCATTATTGTCCGATCACAACATCTGTGCCATCCGAAATTACAGTATAATCGGATTCGATCCATTGCTAGGAAGATTTAGTTTCTGGCTAAAATATTCATGAAGTTAGCTCAATTAATATTCTATACCTTTGAGCCATCTTTTGCTGCATCAAACATTTTAACTATAGTGTTATTGTTGCAGCGAAAGAACTAGTGAAATTGAAGAATAAAATTGGAATTTATAACCTCGCAAACTTCTGATTAATTTTCAATGTTCAGATGAACACAACCAAACTACTTCCATTCCTCATAAAGCTGCTAATTATTGTAAGATTAAAAAGGATCAATGAAAAATGGTGGGAGTAATTTGAAGTTACCAAAACGCCTCTGATAAATAGCACGTGTAAATTATCGTAAACTCCCCGTTGAAACTATTAAGAGTTAAAGGAAGTTTTTGGAATTGTGTAAAGTTATCAGGTCTTTCCTTTTCTTATTTATAGATGGATAACCAAAATGAAGCATGTAGAAGATTGTTGTTAGATGAATTGGATTTCCTGAAAGCAATGTATACAATGGAAGAATTAGAAATAAACGAGCCTCAAGATCCAGCAGAAAATGGCCAAATTACACGACTAACTCTGCGTCAGGTAGAAGATATCTGATATTGTTTAAAGATAAATTTATGTTTTAATTATGAATCAAGATAGAATTTATTATTACGCCAGAATTTGAATTTGAAGCCATTTATATTTTAGCAGGTTGATGGCATCAATTACGAAGTTGTAATGCATTTGAGTAGTGAATATCCAATCATCCTGAAACCTTCTGCATTTGTTCGTTGTTCATTGATCAATTGTGATTTGCTGAACCGAGAACTTCGATATTTCATTAACCAGGAAACTCTCGGTACACCTCTTGCATTGATTATTATGCAATGGATCAGTGATAATATCAATCGTTTCAAGGTTATGCTTCAAACGGTTATTTTAAAAATCATATTATACGTGTTACGCGAAATACATTATTGCTTATCTTCCACTGAGTCACTCATTTTTTAGACATTTAATTTAGATATTATTATCAGTTATTATTGAACATATGTCTCATCATATCGATTTTACATATTGTCACAGCCTAAGTCTTCTTTCCTACTTTGAGCTTCCACAACTTACCATACACAGTAACATTTTGCGAAGTTTTTCCTTCTCAATTTTTTCGCAAAAATTTTTCTTCCTAATGAATTTTTAAGAATAAAAGTCGGAAAGTTTCCAAAAGTAATTTCAATGTAATTTTAAATGGTATTCGTTCGCTGAAATTAGTTTTTTCATCCGAAATTATTTCTGATTTCAAATAAATAAGATTTATAGGGAATGATCGAAAAACAGACAGTGCAAATTGTGGATAATGTGGGAGGAACAAACAACACGAAATACGCACGATTTTGGATTTATTCACATCATATTTACAACAAAATTAAGAGACGTATGATCAAAGACACAGCAGCATTATATCAGTTAGATGGATTTTTCTGTCCCGGAAAACCGGGTGTTATTATTCTAGAAGGTTTCCGAATTGATTGTGACAAATTTTGGGAGCAAATTCGTGTCTTGAATTGGCAGCGTATTATTTTGCGCCACTGTGAAGAACAAACTAACCCATCATTTTTTCGACTTGGAAAATTTCGCGAAATTCAATTTCCGCATGCGAAATATTTGACAGAACTGAAAAAAATACTTACTGAAGCTGGTTTAGAATATGGTTTTGCATTATTATTGAACTTGTAGACAATTTTATTTTAATGAATGTGTAAGTAAGTACATGTGTCGTCTACATTTCTGTACAAATTTATGACAATTGTGAAGTAAATAAAGATACAAGATAAAGTTGTATAGCTGACAAGTAATAATTATACTGAGCAATTTTTTAAATTTCAAAATTCCAATTTTCTTAATCTTGAAATCATTGATTCGTGCTATAAATTTCTTAAACCAGTAAAAAAATTGGTGGCATTAATCACTATCAAACGATTTTAATTTTTCTTTCGTATACTTTGAAATTTAAAAGACTTTCTTTGGAAGTCAGAAGTCCTTTTTTTTTTGTTGTTGTTGTTGTTCACGGCTAATTTCGGGTACTTTTAAATTTGTTAAGTTTTATAAAATATTACTCTTTATCCATTCAGTTTTTATAAATCATCCAAATGTATTATGAATATTGTAATCATTTTTATAGTTTAAAATTTCCAATTCATTTTAAACATTACTTAAATTTCTAACATCTTTTCTTTGCTTAACTTTCCATAAATCATTGTTCTTTCAATTTTTCATAAAACCAATACTTCCTTGAATTATTGTTGTTTCAGTCTTTCATGAAATTATCATTATGAATAATTTCATCACTACTTTTTGTAATTATAAAACTGAATAATTTGAATATAGTAACGTTCATGTTGGTATTTTCTTACACATTATTATTTACTCATACTTTATCTGATTGATTTCCTTCTTTTATACTTGATATTTTTTAGTATCATAAATGATGATTGCTGATACTTCTTTGTACCATAATATCTGCTGATATCTGTTTGTATCAGATCTGATATCAACAGATATATCCTTGTATTATACTTGTTATCTGTTTTTCATGATCTTTCCCACTTATCATTTATTCGTAAATTTTCATAATTTTTCTAAATAATTCTTTAATCATCATTATGCGCTTAAGAACGAGTCGACACTTTTCTTCGAATCTATTTATGTCCAGAGAATATTCTTGTTATTATTTGTTCTCATAATATATTAAATATTAGTACTTCTTTGCCTAATCACATTATTTTTAAATTTACAATATATCCATATCTAATCGTTATTATATTATCTTCAATTTTATAAATATCTCTCATCAAAGGAAGAAGATTTGCAACTTTCTTCAATTTAACACTATATCAGTTGATTTTACTTTTCAAAAATAATTGTATTCTTCAAAATTCCCTATCGTTCAATTCTGAAAACAATCAAATTTTCTTGAGTTTTTATTTTTGCTAAAATTAAATCCGGAAAGATTTAAACATTTGAGTAATTTTTGTTCGTGTAGTTCAATTTTATATACTTATCTACTTAAATGATTACTGATAATGTTAACCCGTTTCTTGTTTTCGTTTTCCTTATCATTCTCAAAATGAAGGAAATTAGTTATTCTCGATGGGATGTGATTATTTCATCCATGTTGCATGATTGAAATAAATATTGAACCGGTTTTATTATGATCATCGTAGTTTTACGGGCAAGCGATTCCGGTTGTTATGTATTTCGGCTTTATTTGATTTATCTTATGATGTAGAATTTTCTTAACTCTAGAATTCCCTTTACTATCACAGGGAATTTCCTTAACTATTATGAATTTGATTGAGTAGAAAGACAACGGTTATTTACTTAACAACTAAAATTAGCAAATAATTTCGAACTATAGGTAAATATTTGATATGTCAATTCATACGCATATATTTTTTCTTTTAATCATATTTTGTACAGATTATTTAAGAATACGTTTATATATATATATATATATATATATATATATGTATATATATGTATATATATAAACATGTGTGCATGACAATCAAATGTTACTAATACATTTTATGAATTAATTATCCCGTATTATGAAATGTATGACGAGTTAAATGACGAGTTCTGGATTGCATGACATATTAGTGTTAGATGTTGTCTGTGGTATCATATGGTTGGGCTTGTGTCACGTGTTGTGCATTGTGTTACATGTAACGATGTGCTCATATATGTGCGATACACGATATAATAGTGTGATAATAATAGTAATAATAATTAATAATGGTAATAATATTAATAATGATAGCAATAATAATAGTAGTAATGATAGTAATAATAATAATAATAATAACAATAGTAATAATAATAATAATAACAACAGTAATAATAATGATGATAACAATAATAGTAGTTGATAATAATAATTGATAATAATAATCAATAGTAATAATTGATAGTAATAAGTGATAATGATAATTGATAATAATAATTGATAATGATAATTGATAGTAATGATTGATAATGATAATCGATAACAATAATTGATAATAACAATTGATGACGATTATTGATAATAATAATCGATAATAATAATCGATAATAATAATCGATAATAATAATTGATAATAATAATTGATAAGGACAATTAATAGTAATAATTGATAGTAATAATTGATAATAATAATTGATAATAATAATTGATGATAATAATTGACAATAATAATTGATAATGGTAATTAAATTGACGTGATAATTGATAATAGTGGTTGACAATAATAAATGATAATAATAAATGATAGTAATTGATAAGAGTAATAATAATAATAATAATAATAATAATAATAATAATAATAATAATAATGATAATAATTCAGGATAAAAATGGTATTTGATTATTCCGTTATCTCACCAATAATTTGTAAATAATAAATATTTGATTATGGCTGAGGTGAAAAAAAATATTTTAACATTTGGATTCTATGAGGAGCATTACATTGCACAGGTGCAAGTGGACGTTGGATATCAATAAATTAATTCCCTGTAGGTAAAATATCAAATCATTACTTTCTCTTTATTCATTAGCTACAATTGCAATTATTTGAAGCAAATATAGCGCTATTCATCATGGTTGTTAAAGTTGAATATTAATGTTCGAAATAATGATTACGAGAAGTAACTAACGAGATTCTTGGAAGCTTAAAACTAATCCATACGATGGAGCTAGGATAATTTGAATCACCAGTAGCACAGGGATCGGATAGGCGAGTAAGTGTTGAACGATGCTAAAGAATGAACTTTATACGATGGTAATTGATGTGGGAAATTGAACAATTATAGGAGGATTTATTGCACTGATCGATTAGAAGGACAAATGAGGAATTTGATCCACAGAAAATGGATTATAAAAAAATTGAATTAAAATACAATGCAAGAATTGAACATAGAAAAGTACGTTGCTAAAAAAGGTTGGGAAATTTAGTAGAATGGATTATAAAATTGTAAAATATTTTAGTAAAATATTTTAGTATTATGGAAGGCTAAAATTTAATGCAAAAATCTGGATCAAAATTGGATTACATCAAGTCAGAGTTAAACAATGAATATTGAAATTAATGAGAAGAATTCATCTTTTAACATTATAAAGGATAATAACTCAGGAATGTTCCCCTCATAGTAGCACTAATTTTTGAGTTTTATTTTTATTTCCCTCTCCCTGTCTTTCCCTTTCTCTCTCATAGAGCGCTTCATTTGTTAGTTTTAAAATAGAAAATTAATATTAAATTATTAGGGCAAAAGAATATTGAATTTAATCTTTGATACTTTGTTCCAGTACCACTTACTTCCCATGTCTATCCTTCCGCTCGTCTGTGTTTTTTTTTCCTCCATCATTTTTCTTGTTCATTTTTGATATAATTTTAAAGAAAGGAATAAACTTTAGGAAGAGAATTTATTCAGGTCTTTATAGATTTTTTGATGTTTAATTAGTATAATTTATCATATTTTAAGTGACAAGTAAACCCGGATCATCAACGTGACCATTCATCACTTCTAGCGATGTTTACGTATATGTTAATTGTAATCAATGATGCAAAAGCTTACGGAATATTTCCAGTATCCACTTACTAACTTTTCTCTCAAAATGATTACAATGAAAATGAAAATCTCATGAGAAACAAGGTGAAGTATGTCTTTGAAAGTGTTTACGTGAAATTACATTCTTTAACATAGTTTCATGGTGATATATTTTTGTTTATTATTTAAAAAAAGGGCACTGACTTTGTGATATTTTTCTTTTCAGCTTAAAAAAATGAGAAAGAAAGAATTCATGTTGAAAATAGTTTGTAGTAATATATGATTTGTTTTTAAAGTTTTAATTCTTTCCAAAACCCTTTAACCTTTTCCCTTTCACGAAAAAGAGCACTCCAATATTTATTTCAGGTTTTCTCACTTTAACATACACCAAAGAGCAGTAATGTTTACTGATGTTCCTCTTCCATGCATACAGCATTACCTGATATGTTATCATACAAATTTATATATAGCCGAAAATTTTTCTTCTACCGCGTTTGCAGACATTTGGGATAAAAATCCATTACTGATAAAAATCCAAAATCCATCCATTACTGATCGTATTTCACTGGAAGTTTTTGTGAAAAGCTGTGCATCATAATGATTCTTTATACATATTTTAATGAACGGTATGGTTCAAATTAAGCTGTCTAATGCCCAATTAAATACTGCATTGAAAATTATGATTATAGGTCTTTGTTTTTGGCCGAAATAAATCGAAGACAATAAAATGCGCTAGTACGAGTTTTTTGTCATTTGTCATAATAGTATAGCTATTAAATTAAAAGAATAATGTAAATTATTTTGATTTGCTGAGAAAAAAATTATATTTAATCGATTAAACTTAATTATATTTAATTCTTTTTAAATTTGCATGGATTTTTCTTTCATAACAATACTTTCTGTTCTTTCTTCCCTTTTTTTTTTTATCAAACACAGAAATAGTATTGAAACGTGCGAGATATTTCTGGTGTAAAAATGAGATTGATCCTTTTGTGTAATATTTGATAGTGGAAATGTGAAATGCTAACATTGTACGACTAATGAGCAGCAATCTTTCTTTTATCATTCTTTCTTAAAAAACATCAATCTTTGAATTGTTCCATTTCTTTCTCATTTTTATCTCTCTGTCTTTCAGATATATAATTTTTTGTTTCATAATTTAATATTCCTTATCATGTATTTACATATTATATATTTATGTTTACGTAGAAACATTCATGTAAGTGTAGAAGGATTAAGTAAGTGATTTTGATTTGCTGAGGAAGAATGTATACTTTTATCTACACGTTTCAAATCCTTGTGACGTTTATAATAAAGTCGCACATAGTTTGGTCTAACTTCAACGATTTTATATAAAAACATGACAAAAAGAGTAATTAAGTTATTTACTACTAATATTAAATGATATCTCTATTTTTGTTGGAGCAATAATTTCTTCGTGATCTGTGGCTCATTTTTAAAATGTTAATAATTTTTCTTGATCGAATAATACTTTTAATTGGATAACTTTAGCAAAAATTAAAAAAAAGCAATAAGTAAAAATGAATGAGAAAGAAAAAGGAAAGTAGAAAAATATTCACTTCAATCTTTATTGTTTTCTTTCATCACTTCCAACAAATATCACTCACTTTAAATATCTCACGTCAGCAATTGAATTTTTCACAATTGTTTAAAAGTTTTCCAATTTATAATTTGCTAAGTACATTTAACATATATAACTACAGCTGTTTCTGTTTTCTGTAAAAGTCAAAAACTTTAAAACATCTATCCAATTATTTGTAGTCTTGGATATCACTGTATTTTCTGTGATAACAAAACGAAAGATTTATTGTAATCGAATTTAACAATCAAATTGATCAAAAAAAACTGTTTGCTGCGAGAAATAATAGCTGGAAGATAGATAGATATGTTTACATGATTTATTCTTGTGATTCGTCTAAACATTACAAATTCTTTTGTAAATATATATAATTGAAAGAGAATAGTGTAACAAAAGTTGTATTATTCTCTTTTAAGCAATTTCTTTGTCTCCTGAAAAATTATCAAAGTGCACAAAAAAAAATGCAATTATAAAAAAGCAAATTATCTCATACATTTTTTATCCCAGATTCTTTTTTTATCTTTTTGATCTCATATCATTATATATATAT